ATGTAGTTGAGACTGACCTGGATCTCACTGTAGCTCAGTCATGAGAGTAAATTTTAACTATTTTTCTTTTTTTGGTTTTTTGAGACAGGGTCTCTCTATGTAGTTGAGACTGACCTGGATCTCACTATGTAGCTCAGGCTGGTCTCCAACTCACAGCGATCCTCCTGCCTCAGCCTCCTGAATGCTGGGATTACAGGCATGCGCCATCATGCCCGGTTTAACTATTTTTCTTTTTCAAGGAGTGAAAATTCCATTAAAAAAACAGATAATGACACACTGTGTTACTGAGAGCACTCCACTCATCAAAAGATCACACATTTATGATCTGGCTTTTCAGTTTACCTGGTACGTGACCTAGCAAAGTTACAGTAGCTCTTTGGGTTCATCTTTAAATAATCTGTAAGAATCTTTTTCAGTTTAAAATTCCGTGACATTATGCTTTTTCTACAGTACTCAAGACTTTATGGTTCATGGACTTCTAGTGACCTCCATAGACACTCTATTTAACTTTGTCAGAAAAGATGTCAGGACTTTTTTTTTTCTAAATAGAGAAATTGAATATGTTGTTTTTAGGTTGCATAATTTGTTTATATTAAGCTATTCTATTTAAGTTTAGATTAGCCATAAGTATACTCATTATAAAGCTGTAAGGGCACATTTTTTCGTCAGTCAGTTTCTAGTAAAAAGATGAAATAGGGCGAGGTGATTCAGAACAATGTGCCTTTCCCGAAATAGCCACAACTTGAAGTTACTACACATTAGAATGAATATGATCTGTCTTCAGTGGTCTCTTCTATTCTTTTGGCCCAGTGATCATAAATATTCAGAATGATCACATCAAGATATCCACTGCAATATCTTTAGACATCAACAAAATGAACAAACTCTTCTAAAAACATCTATTCTAGGAGAAAGTCATTCATTACTTTAATGAATATGTTTAAAGTCATGTTTTAAAGAAAATCAATTGAAAAGCAATTGATTTATAAATATTTTGAGCCTAAATTGTTCTAGGCATTATAGGAAATTTAGAAGTTTGAAAATGATCTTGCCGTCAAATTTTTTTGTTGTTGTTTTATTTTGTTTTTTAACAGATGTGAGCCTAGGAAACAAAATGACAGTTACATGTGTTTATGGTTGCTACAGTAAACTGATACTCATCATCTATCCAGAGTTCCTTCTCATATGCAGAAAGCTAAAGACTTCTTTCCTAGACTGTTTTAAAACTGTAGCTCTGAGTGCAAATTCGTTTCTTCCAATTAAATTTATTGCATGAAATTTAGAAGAATCTCATTATCTGAGATATGGCAGAAGTGAAATAAAAGTCTTCTTCTTGCTGTTTCCCTCCCCCACTTATTTATTTATATGTTGCCAGCAGCCAAGTTGTAGAGCCTAGTTTTTCAGCAGCTACACTGCATCATTCATTCAATAACTTTGTGGGCAGAGAAACAGTCACAAGCGTGGTGGCAATGGCTTCCAAAAGTTTGAATTCCAGCTCTACAGATAGGTGCTGAACCTAGAAGGTCCCCTGTTGCCATCTGTTCTGAGTGTGGCAGGAGTACATTTTCCTTCTGCTGGGCCACTGAAGAGGTCCTACTGGCAGTTGTCCTAGATGCTCAGCCTAAAGCCCATTCAGCTAACCCAAAGATTCTGTAAGCATCCAAATCTCTGTATTAAATCTCCTTTGGCTTAAACTAGCTGGAAGAATGCCTGTTTCCAAGAGCAAATATTAGCCAACTGACAAACATTTGTACACCAGTGTTCAGACAGCAGGAGTTCAGAGAGGAAAATAAACAAGGAGGACAAGACTGATAAAGAAGGGCCAGGATGGGCTCAGCATGGAGACCGCACCTGGATGAACAGGTCAATGCCCACACCGTGATTATCTGAAATGTCTGCAGAAGATTTATGTACAGATTCATCATTACTTTTTATAAAACCAAAAAAGTTCCTGAGAGCCACTGCTTTTGGACACTTTCTTTTACTAACTTCAATTTAAATAGAATCTTAATTTTCCAGGCTCTGATACATGAAATGATCCCCCAAAGAGCAGTCTCTGTTGGTTTAGCCTCAGACCTTTAGAGTAAATCATGATCAAAAATGTGCTCCAGCTATTCTTTGGATAATGCAAAAGGCAGAAAATAAAAGCTTAAGGATGAAAATTCTTCTGAGCCCACTGTCTTGTGCCAAAGTATTATAGGGATTATAGTTGGCTTTGTGGCTCTAAGGCCTAGGAATGCAAAAGGCCCACTTAGGAGGTGGTGACGGGGGATTTGAGGAACGTTGCATAAATGGACCGCAACCTCAGTCATGTCAGGAAGCCCAGTGCGCTGCTTTCATCTCCTTTTGGGGGGCTGCTGTAAAATATTTTTGTTTCTCGTGGTCAACCACTTCTCTAGTTCTCTTAATAACAGAAATCAAGCTTCCTTGGCCTCCTGTCCCTTAGGTGTAAAGCGATAAGCATTTTCCTTCCTACTTATTCCTCTGAGCACGTGGCAACCCCCTAGTCTGATCTCTATCTTGCGGGTCCCCTTGTCACAGAAATCCACAGAGGGGAGGAGAACATCTTGAATGTCTGCCTTGGAGGTGAGGGTTCGTGAGGTAGCTGAATCTCTAACCCTCTGATCACACAACACATCAAATTAGTTAAGCCCAAGGCAAGGTTGAGTATCTGATTTTTCCTGTTGCTGGGGACTCAATAACTGGCTGAAGTACAGAAAATAATTTCCTCCAGGAGTCAATGAATCAAAAGATTTTCCTGCTCCATTTGTTTTAGAAGTCTGAGTTTTCATCCTTTATCACCGGTTGGCCATGTGCTTGCTCTTATTATATCCCTCGACTGATAGAAGCATTAGGAGGTTGGAAATGCAGTGCTAAGGAAAAATGACAGAAAGTAACAGTTGCCGATGCATAAAATTGTTGACATGAGTTCTGTCTTCCACACTGATCATTCCAGGGGCTTCCAAGTCCAAGTCAACAGGACAGGGAAAAGCAGATGAGGCGGAAGCCATCCTCTTTCTTCAGAAACTGATCTTAGGGCAGATGAGATAGACCATGGCAGGATCACACCACAGGACCGTGGTTCACAATCCGGAGTAGGTGAGCCCTCTGGCTGTGGCCAATCCAGTGGCGCTTCCCTCTCATGCTCAAGTGTCCTTTCTCAATTTCTCGGTCCTTCCTAGCATGCTGAAGTCAATATGCTACAGTAAATGAATGGATAGATCTAAGCCTTGTCTCTGGCCTTTTGCACAGGTAGCAAAAAGACTGAGAAGGCTGAATTCTTTGACAAATCACTCCCCAGAAAAAGCTATTCCTTTACTGCGAAGCTTTTTTCTCCACCTTATACAAACAAAGCTCGGCAGAGTGGCACCTGCCTGTAGTCCCAACTATTCAGGAGGCTGACAAAGAAGGACTGAGTCCAGGAGTTCAAAGCCAGTCTGGACGACACAGTAAAACCTCATCTCTTAAAAACAAAAGTCGCCCTTGTCTTAGCCCATTTGAGCTTCTATAACAAAATACTTCAGACAGGGCAGTTTATTAGCCATAGAAATGTTCCTCACAGCCATGGAGGCTGGACAGTACAAGATACAGGGCCAACAGGCTGAAAGTCTGGTAAGGGCTACTTTCTCTATTTCAAGGTGATACCTTGTAGTATCTCACAGGGAGCAAGGCAGAAGGGCCAAAAGACCAAGGTCTTTGTGATCCCTCCTTCATAAGGGCCTCTATCTCATTCACAAATAAGGGGCCCTATGACTGAATCTGAAAGGCCTCACTTTTTTTTTTTTTTTTTTTTTTTTTTTTTTTGATGGTGG